GTAGTAGTAGTAGTAGTAGTAGTAGTAGTAATAGTAGTAGTAGTAGTCGTAGTAGTAGTAGTAGTAGTAGTAGTAGTAGTAGTAGTAGTAGTAGTAGGAGGAGTAGCCGTCGAAACAGTAACAGTAGTAGCAACAATGGTAGAAAAGTGATCTTACTCCGGCACGTTTTACTACGGGCTACTGCATTGCACCATGCGGCGGAAAGGGGGTCGACGAGGCCCGAGGTGCGCGGCTGGATCCGCAGGCTGACCCGAGCGCAGAGGCGAGGCGGACGACGTCGAGCTGCCGGCCCTGGCCCCGCCGCAACGCTGGGAAGAGTGACGCACGTGACGAGGACCTCTCCGTCACGGGTGTCGGCGCCATCCGCGGGCGGGTCGCCGATGGAGGAGGGGGCCACGTCACAGAACGCGCGCGCAGCGCGCACTGCTGGCGCCCCCCTGGAAGGACTGTGTTGCCCAGCAGCGCGATCCGTGGTGGAGGGCAGAAGAGCCACCCTTATCATGAGCACCCCTACAATCGGAGCCCTTCAGCAAACGCACCGAAGGAGGGACTCGAACAGGCAGGACTGCTCAGTAAACGCCCAAGGCTGCTTAGTAAAAGCCGACTATGGGGGTCGGGGTGCTCCTCTCTTGGCGTGGGGGCTGGCGGGGGGCCTGCACCCACGAGCGGCGCTGGGGGCCTCGGAGCGCCCCGGGCGGCAGGGGCTGGGCTCGCCGCTGTGTGGCCAGAGGTGGGCAGCGGTGGGAGCAGAGGCGACGCGCTGAACCTCTTCGCTTCATCGCCCACTCGCTCATCGTGTGCCCGCAGACACAGATAGAGGCCTCCTAGATTGGGTCCGAGCAGTTGGGGTCGGAGGATTGAGCCGCATCGCCGAGCCGCATCGCCGATGCATCGGTGATGCGGCTCGATGTGGAACCCGACTTTCTCATCGCTGATGTCGCTAACGCGTCGCAAACGTCGCCGATGCATCGTCAATGCATCGGCGACATATCTGCGACGTATCGGCGATGCATCGGCGATATGGCACGATCCTCCGACCCCATCTACTCGGCCTCCTTTTGGGAGGCGTAGAACAAAGGGGTCCAGAGACAGGATGGGTGTCCCTAGATTGTTTTAACACAGGGGCAAGAACATGAAATAAAGCGCGCCCCCGGGGGCAAATCTGGGATCGCAGGGCACATTGCCCGCCTTCGCCTGCTCCCCGTCGTCCAAGTGGGCCGAGACAGCCCCTGCGCTTCGCATGCGCCTGGACGTAGACGTAGCTGTCTGCACACGTCATGCTCGTGGGCTCGACTCGCCCTGCACGAGGTGCGCGCAGCCTGAGCCTATGTAGAACAAGCAGACGAAATACTCGTGCCGAGGTGCCGCGCGCTGGTGCGGCTGAAGGGGTCATCACCTGACCGACAAGCAGCTGGCTGGTCGGGGACGCAATGTGCGCCGTCCTCGCACCAGCCGCAAGAGATTGCCAAGCATGCCCGGCATCCGCCTTCGAGCACATCAACACATGCCGGGTACCGCTCCCAGACCCAATCCCATCGGCCCTTCTTCCGGTGAGCCGGCACCAGCTCTTCGGCGAGTCTATAAGCTGGTCGCTCTGTGTCATGGGCAGCGGGGCCTCCATCTGGCACAAAACCACGGCCGGCGGCCCAATCCAAGAGCAGCTCACGGTGCCGCTCCCGTACTTGCTGCTCCACAGCGCCCAGCAGCTGCACATCGAACATCGCGACTGTGGACCTGCGGCTGGGCTTTGCGAGAAGAGAGCGGAAGAGGGTCCCTCGAGGTGTTGTCGGAGAGCCCTCCACTGGGCGTGACAGCCAACTTCTCAGCTGCACCTCGGTCTGCCCATCATCAACGACTGCAACGCCATCATCACCAACACTCCGAGCTCTGGTCGAGGTCGTTGACGCCGTGTATTCCATAGCGAATCTGGCAGCTGTGCGCTCGAAGTGCGCACGGTACACGAGAGAACCGCTCGCTTCTGGGAGGGAGAGCACGCGATCGCTGCGGGAGACGCACTCCTCCAGCATCTGTTGCGCCTCCGCCGCGCGCCCCAGGGCCTGCAGCGCCTGCCCCGCCAAATTGCAGGCACGCATGTCGATGCCGCTTAGCTGCATGGCCCGCCGTGCAGCCTCCAACGCTTCAGCATCACTGCCCACGTCCAGCGACACTGCGGCCAAATACGAATACACCTGCGAACTGTTACTCAGTTCGGCTGCGGCCCTGAACTGCTCCAGCGCGGCCTCCCTGTCGGGTGGGCTCTGAAGCCACAGGGCCAAGCCGTGATGTGCCCTGAACTCTGGCTCATGCGGGAAGAGTGTGCTGGCCCTGGCGCAGTTGGCCGACAACTCCTGCACCCACCCGCCAGCACCTCGCGAGCACGTCTCAGCTGCAGCCATCTTACCACGTCTCCCAACTGTGCGCTCCCAAGTCTTGCGGGCCTGACCGCCTTGCAACACGGTGGTCATAAAAACGGTTGCACGGATGTTGAGGGTCTGGTGGTACATGCCCTCAGGCACGAACACTGACTCCCCTGCTTGTATGTTGCACTCCTGCAAAAAGGCACGATCAGAAGGCGAAATGGTCGGGTGCACGTCCCGCAGCCACTGGGCTGGCGTCTGCCCTGGGTTGGCGCCCCCGGGGGGCAGGCGTGTCGTGTCCGTCCAAACGAACCATCTCTTGACGCCGAACACCAGCGTGTTTGCGAAGACCGCCTGGTGCCAGTGCCAGGGGATGCCAGTGCCCGTGGCGCCGACTCCTACCTCTTGCACCTGCGTTGCTCCTCGGCTACCCGCCGCATCTGGGGGCGCCACCCTCTCGATCGACGGGAGCGGCCCGCAGCCGTCCAGCAGGCCCGGTAGCCCCGCCAGCTCCTGGTCGAAGAGCTGGCCCACCGCGCCGCCGTCCGCGGAGTAGTTGTGCACCCCGCGCGCGAAGTTGTCCAGCGCAACGCCCAAGGTGCTGATTCGCGGGCCCACCTGGGGAAACCGAACGACACCGGTACCGCTACTCCCTGGACCTCTCCTGGGTGTGTTCTGACCAGAATTTCGAGGAGAAGCCAGCCGTGGCGACGATGGGCTCCCTGGAGGCCCAAGCAGGCGACACCGAGGCAAGGGTAGCGGTACAGTCATCGTGCCAAGAGGAGGAACGCTGGACAAGGAACGAAGGGCTGTTCTGGTCACGGCGAGCTTCGGTCACGAATAGGCTCCCCGATCCAGACCTCAGGGACGGCTGGGAAACCAGATCACCTGCTGCGCCCGAGGTGGTCCTGGTTTCAGCGTCTTGACTGTAGAGGTATCGGTACTCTGGATGTGGCAATCATTGCCCTCCCTTGGATCCGCTGGGAGGGCTGGGCATGTGCTGTCGGAAGTGGAGGGGGGTTGGAAGAAGGGGATGATGATGGTGATGGTGATGCTGCTGATGATGCTTAAGCTGATGGATATGATGATGAGGATGACGAGGATGATACTGATGATGATGTTGTTGATGATGATAACCATGATGCTGATGATGAGGATTATGATGCTGATGATGCTGATGATGCTGATGATGCTGATGATGATGACGACAATGATGATGACGATGGTGACGATGATGATGGTGATGATGATGATGATGATGGTGGTGGTGGTGGTGATGATGATGATGATGATGATGATGATGATGATGATGATGACGATGATGATGATGATGATGCTGATGATGATGATGATGATGATGATGATGATGATGATGATGATGATGATGATGATGATGATGATGACGGGGGGGGATGGGCCAGCTCCATTGGAAGGCCCCCCCCCTCCCCGCCCCCCCCATCTAGAATGCCTTCTTCCTCCTCTGACCACCTGGGCCAGCCCCGACAAGTCGTGCACCAACACGGGGGCGTCGGTAAACTCCCCGCGAACGCGCCGCTGCGAGAGCGCGGTCCGGCAAGCGCCCAGCGCCAGGGCTTCCTCCTCCCCGGCCCAGCGGCGGCCGCTCCAGGGCGTGCCGAAGATCACTGGCCGCTCCTTGGCGATGTGTAGAGGGAGGCTCACGATGGCGAACACATGCGCTCTCGCAGGTCCGCGCGGATTTCCTGGACCGGCGCTGCGCGCAAGGGGCACCTTGCACCCTTCGGCTCTGGCCGTCCTCGGCGCGTGTTTGGCCTCCCAGCCCCAAGAGCTCCTTGGGGGGCAGCTCTTTTTTGTTGATTTCGGTGCGCCCTAAGGGTCTTGCATCCATGAACTCCATCCTGATGACTGTCTCGAGTCGCCCCAATCCGGAGTTTTCGAGTTCCTCACATCCGGAGCCGCCTCTCTCTGGAGTTGTCGAGGCACCAGCCCGCAGTTTTCCAGCATTTTTGTTAGACTTCGCTCCATTGGTGTTTTTGCAAGGCCCATGTTCCCCAATCAGAGCTTGCCTCTGTAGGGGTTCTGGCGGATTCATGTGGTTAGGTGATGGGTTGGCGCCGATCTCGGCGGCGCGCCCGCGCTGGGCCCCCCCTGGCGGCGCCCACGGGCACGCCTCGCGCGCCAGGGAGGGGGGCCCAGCGCCGAGCCGAGAATCCCGCGCGGAGCTCCAACAGCTTATGCTTGTGGATGCCATGACAATGGACACTCCAACAGTCCAATCATTGAATTAAAGATGTGTTAATAAAATGTGTAAAACATGTTCTAACACATGTTTCGAACATGTTTTTACATAATGAAAACATGCTTGAAACATGTTTTAGACATCTGGAAATTATTTGGCAGCGTGCTTCCTCTCCATTGATCGTCCTCCACAAGCTTATGCTCACACACCGCTCTTCCACCCTCCAGATGTAATCCGCCCTCAGCATCTCCCAGGTGAGGCCCGGCTGGCGGTCGATGCTGCAGGGTGCCGAGGCCAGCGCGGGCCGCAGGCCGAAGGGGACCTCCCGGGCGGGCATGGACCAGCCATCGGACGAGCGGCCGCACCAGAGGCACAGCAGCAGCAGCCGCAGGGAGCGGTCTAGGCCGCGGTGGAGTCGCTGCGCGCCCACGCGCGACATCCATCTTTCGTTTCTCTCGTCGCGCTCCTGCCCGCAGCCCCCATATATCCTCCCCAGCTTCCCTGCGTCTCCCGAGCCCCTCTCCCTTCCCATGCTCCTCCTACCAGTTCGGCATAGAGCTGTTCACCAACATAAGAAGGCCCAACTGTCTCCAATACAGCTGTCGCATGATTTCTCAATTTCTGCGGGCGCGCACCTCCGCATCATCCTCACCAACATATTGTTTTGTGAATAATCGTCAGCGTCGTCATTGGTATCACAATCAGCATCACCATCACCATCACCATCATCGCCAGCATCAGCATCGTGATCATCATCATCATTACTGAACTCATCTCCGCCATACTTATCATCACCACCATCCTCATTCTCATCATTAGAATCATCGTCATCACCATCATCATAACCACCATCACCATCACCATCCTCATCACCATCCTCATCAGCATCCTCATCTTCATCACCATCATCGTCATCATCCTCATCGGCATCAACATCACCATCCTCCTCATCATCTCCATCATCGTCATCATCAACAACATCGTCCTCCTACTCATCCTTCGCATCGCCATTCTCATCACGAGCAGCATCAACGTAACCATCTTAATCATCGTCATCATCATCAACATCATCATCATCGTCATCGTCATCGCACCGTCACCATCATCACCACCACCATCACCATCACCATCACCATCACCATCACCATCACCGTCACCATCACCATCACTATCAGCATTCGCATCAGCATCACCACCGCCACCATCACCATCACTATCAGCATCAGCATCAGCATCACCACCACCATCACCATCACCATCGCCATCACCATCGCCATTACCATCACCATCGTCGTCATCATCACTGCCGCTGTCATCATCGTCAACGGCGACGCCGTCGCCTTCGTCAACTTACTGCGCGCGGGCACTTTCTTTTCATCACCAGACATATAGTCTTCATCATCGACGGCTTCATCGTTACCACCGTCATTATTATTACCATCACCATCGTAGTCGTCGATATCGTTTCGGCCCCTATCACCACTGTCATCACCATCGGCATCAACATCATTACCACTGCCATCGCCATCGTCGTCAGCGTCGCAGTCGTCACCATCGCCACCACTCTCGCGATCTGCAGGGCAGACTTATCTGCGCAATTGAGTCCCACGCGCCCGTGCGCTCGTTGAGATCAGGGCCATCTGTCAACAAGTTGCGGATGGAAGGGTGGGATGTTTGCACGAGCGCTTGAGTTGACGACTGCAATTTCCACAGGTGAGCTGCACTGCATAGATTGCACCCCACAGCGTGCACCACTTCGCCTGCACCACAAATCTTGCACCACATAGAGTGCACACCATGAGTGCGATAGGCCACTGTTTGGGGTCCACAGTGGCAAGCTTTATTTCAATAGCCAGTGGCGTATCATGCAGAGGTGGCAGTCCCAAGGACCACCCCAGGACTCCCCCTCCAATCCTAAAACACGTCAAGATAGAAGGGGGCTGGTGGCAGGTGCATGCCTGAGAGCTCGGACTGGCCTGGGGCGCGGAGACATCCTTTGAGCCTGACTCGGCTACCGCCTCCTCGTTCACATTCCCTTCGCTACTCTTCTGCAGGGGGCTTGATGATGAGGCCCGGTGACGCCCTGAGGCAGGACGTCACGCGTTCGCACATCTGAGGTCCTGGCGTTCCCGCATCCCTGCCCCCCTCTGCACCGTCGCCCGTCGAATCCTCCTGCTCGTGGCCTGTGCTGTCCCGACTCCCCGGCACCTCCCGCACCGTCGTCGGCGCGCGAAGCGCCGAAGCCGGCGCGGATGCCGTGGCCCCGCCCGTGGCGCAGGCCGCGCTCCCGTGAGCACGGCGCTCGCGCAGCCGGGGCGGGAGGCCGCTGGCGGCTCCGTGCGGGCGGCGGGGGCGCGCGCGCGCCCCGCGTCCTGCTGGGGAGGGCCGGGCAGGATCCGAAGGACCGCGGGGATCCGGGAGGGCACGGCCTGTCCGCACGGGCCCCAGGGAGGAGCTCCGTTTCTCGTCGTCGTCGACGTCATCGTCGTCGTCGTCGTCGTCGTCGTCGTCGTCGTCGTCGTCGTCGTCGTCTTCTTCCTTCTCCTCGTCTCGTCCCGCCTCCTGCTCTTACCTTCTGCTCCTCCCTCGTGCTCCTCCTCCTCCTCCTTCTCCTCATGCCCCTCCTTCTCCTCGTCCTCGTCATCCTCATGCTCTTCATTCTCTTTCTCCTGCTCGCTCTCCTTTGGCCTCTCCTTCTCCTCCTCCTCCTCCTCCTCCTCCTCCTCCTGATCATTATGCTCGTCTTTCTTATTGTCCTTATTCTCTTCCTGGTCTCTTTCTCCTCCCCCCCTCGCCAGCAACTCCCACTCCTCCTACTCCTCTTGCTTCTTCTTCAACCTCTATCCTCCGACTTCTGTCCCATCCCCGTCCTCACTCTCCTCCTTTTCATCTGCCTGGTCTTCCAGGTAGTCCGCATCGCCATCGTCGCATTCGTCCTCCCCCTGCTCCTCCTCTCCCTCCTTCTGCTCTCCTAGCTGCTTCTCCTGATCCACCTGCTCTGCTCATCTCCCTCCTCCCACCCCTCTCGTCCTTGTGCTACTGCTTCCTTCCGTCTCACATTCCTCCTCCTTGTCCTCGTCGTCGTCGTCTTCGTCGTCGTCGTCGTCGTCTTCGCCTGACCTGGTCATTGCCCTGGTCGTCGTCACGGTCGTGTTCGGCGTGATGATCGTGCGTGGTGGTGGTGGCTCAGGCGCATGGGTACAGGCCTCCAATTCTGCTTGAACTCGGCGGCGCTATCCCTTCGCCTGACACCATACCCGGCCAGGCAGGGTGCGACAGGCTGACCATGGCAGGGTAAGACGGAGCCACTGACCGAGACGGGTTGGTAGGCCCCACTCCAACACTCCTCCTCCTCCTCCTCCTCCTTCTCCCCCTCCTCCTCCTCCTCCTCCTCCTCCTCCTCCTCCTCCTCTTCCCTCCCTCCTCCTCCTCCCTCCTCCTCCTCCCTCCTCCTCCTCCTCCTCCTCCTCCTCCTCCTCCTCCTCTTCCCTCCCTCCTCCTCCTCCTCCTCCTCCCTCCTCCTCCTCCTCCTCCTCCTCCTCCTCCTCCTCCTTCCTCCCGAGGCCTTCACGCCCCGCGGTCCGAAGGCAGCCTGCGCGAGGCCCCCTCCCCCCCGCTACGCCCAGAGCGGCCGCCGCCCCACTCGATGACCAAGAATGCTTGCAATCATTCGGGGCCTCCCAGGTAGGGTCCGAACAGACGGGGTCCGAGGATCGCGCCGCATCGCCGATGCATCGGCGATGCACTGGCAACGTTGGTGATGCACTGGCGACGTCGGCGTGGAGAAACTCGGGCTCCACATCGAGCCGCATCGCCGATGCATCAGCGATGCGGCGCGATCCTCCGACCCCATCTGCTCGGACCCCATCTTGGAGGCCTACACGTCGTTCATTTCTAATCGTGCTCATTTCTAATTGTGCTTGTTTCTAATTATTCCTGGCCCCCTAGTGGCCAGGAAGAGGCCTAGGATAGAAAAATGAGAAATGCGAGGATCTTGCCCCCCAAAAAAACAAAGAACTTTTGAAGAATGAGAAATGAACAATGTGTAGAATCACTTGCTCACTGCAGGAGGCGTTCCGCTTGGAAGGCGAGCCCCTGGATGGGCTGCCCTACAAGAGAGAGAGAGAGAGAGTGCGACCGAGAGCTTCGTTGTGAGGAGCCACCCTCGGTGCCTCGAGCTATTAGACGCACCAGTGGTGGCATTATCATCATGCTAAATAAGGAGCCGAACTCTATACACCGATGCCTTTGTCCGACCTCGCACTGAATCTCGCACAGGAAAGCGGCTCCTGGTGTATCCGGGATCCTGGTGTATACATTCTTCGTTGTTTCCCCCCGGAAAGCGGGGAACAAACTATACACCACACCATCCCGACATCGTCCCCGACCCTCAAAAAATCCTGGGATTGAAAAACAGCCCGCCACTGGTAATGTAGATGCTCCAATTTCCGACTAAAGGCAATGCCCAAAGAGAGCCCCGTTTTGAAGAAGGGATCGCCCTAGACCAGTGTAATGAACAGTGGTGCATGTTGGCACTTCTGGCCAGCAACCTTGACGGTGTCACAAGCGACAAACCCATTTCGAGAAGGAACCACTTTGCACCCATAGAGTCAGCTGTTGCCGGTAAGACTACTGTGTGCGGCGCTACGGCGGGAGCTACATGCTGGAAACAGCCCGTCCTCCATCCGTATTGCCGAAGGGACTTTTCAAGACGGTTGTGCGCGGAGGCCGGGGCCGCATTGCAAACACCGCCCACTTCCACCCGTGCATCTGTTATATGATCCAAACTTGTCCGTCATACGTGGGTAGGCTATCTCAGGCGAGATGCACAGCCCGCCCAACCGGCACGCCTGGTGGTGCGACGTGGACGACTTCTGGAAAAAGGAAGAGGAGGTCGATGGCGGAGGATGGCTTAAGGATGCTTGAAGCTGTGAACCATGTCGACGGTGTTCTCGGGGGCTCTGCAGCCCATGTCGAGGGTGGGCGGTGGGTCATGGCACTTCCCCGCCCGGCGGCCGACGCGAGACGACGGAGGGAGACGGACGAGGGGCGCGAGGGACGACGGGGTGCAACGGCTCTCTCTCTCTCTCTCGCCACGCCCTCCCTCTTCTCTCCCCCCCTCCCCCCCCCTCCCGCAAACCGGGGGGGGGGGGTGGACCCGCGCGCGGCCCCGCGCCTCCCCCAGGGGGGGGAGCGAGGGGCGCTCCCTCCGGGCGCGCGGGAGCCCCGTGCCGTCGGGGGCGAGGAGGGCGCGCCCGGGGTTGGCGTGCGTGTCGGCGGGGAGCGCAGCGGCAGGGAGGCCTGCGCGCCATACTTCCCAGACCCCCTCGAGTAATGAAAAAATCAGGACGGGAGGTTTTTCGCCATTTTCGGCCTCGGGGGGCCCTCACCGGGCCTCGGGAGCGTCAAAAAACGATTCAGGGTGACAAACCGGTCCTGGGGAAGGGGTCTGGACCTCTGGGGGTCGACGTCATGAAAAATTCACGACGTCGGGGGTCTGGGTTGCTGGAGCACCGCGGCTGGTGCGGGCCGCCGCGTTGCCGCGCCGTCCTTGAAGGTAGCTGCCGCGCCCAGCCTCTCAGCGCGCCTCGCTGGCAAGGTGGCCACCCGGGGTGCCCAGAATGCCCCCCGGGGCAGGGCGTGCCTCGACCGCCAAAAGGGCAGACGACGCCGCCGAGACCATCGGCTACACCCACAGGCGCGAGGCGGTGCCCGCCCGCCCGCGGGCGTCGAGGCGAGGCCATCGCCCAGGGCGCGCCCGCGGGCGACGACGCGGAGCCCGCGAGCGTGGGGCGGACGGCGCCCTGCTGGCCACCAGGGGCGCCCTCCGCGCGCTGCCTCGTGCTGGCTGGGGGCCGCTGCCTGTCGACAGGAGCATCCTGCACGCTGCATACGCGGTCGCGCGCTTGCCTGCACAGTGGACGCCTGCTGTAAGAAGCCTTGCTATAAGACATCTGGGGCACATTCTCCCCGTCGAGCTTCGATCTCCCCCAGGTGCCCCAGAGCTTCTGTGGCCCCCACGCGGGATAGGGAACTCCCGTGGGGCACCTGCTGGCAGGCCAGTCTCTTCCTTTTGCAGTGCCCGCTGTAGCTGTTATGCTGCCGAGTGTATCGCTGTGAAGTTGGGTGTGGGGAGCATTGCTGTCAAACCCCTCTCCTCTCCCTCTCTCCCTCTCCCCCCGCCTGTCCAGACGACTTCGACACTCCAGGTGGCAATCAGTCAGCCAGCCTCTCCCCGCCTCCCCCTCCCTCTGCAATCACGCCTCCCCCCCCGTCCCTTTCTCTCCACCTCCGCTGCCGTGCGACGCCGCGCCTGCTGCCGCCCGCCTCCGCTCCCTCAGCGACCGTCCCCGCCTCCGCTGCCCGGGGGGTGCTCGGCCCGTCTCAGCAGGTGCTCGCCCGCCTCCTCCTCGTCCTCCGCCACCGCCGCGGCCGTGCAGGATGACGCCCCAGGCTGCTCGCCCGCCGCCAGCCGCTGGTTTGCGCCGGCGGGCCGCCCTTCCCCAAGGAGGCACGCGGCCAACATCTCCGCGATGAGCTCCGCGAAGAAGAGGAGCAGCAGCGCGGAGACGACCGTCAGCAGCAGCTGCGTCATGTCCAGCGCGCCCAGCTTGCCGTGCAGCTTCGCGCTGACCTGGATCCCGTCCGCGAAGACGAGGACTCGGTCGTACTGCCCGAAGTCCTTGAGCTTGTCGGGGCTCAGCCAGGCTCTCGCCTCCCGGAGGCTCGAGATCGTGAGTCCGTCCCACACCGACGCCGCTGGGATGATCCGCACCTTGTAGCTGTAGCCGAGGCTCTCCCAACTGCCCAGCCAGGAGCCGAGGTTGGTGTAGTGCACGTCGATTCTCAGCTTCACTCCGCTTTCCCGAAAAGGTTCTCTGCCGCCTGGGTGATCCGTCTCTAGAAGAACAACAAACCGCTTTAAGATGATGTCTCGGAAGTCCGCGCAGATTTCCTGGATCGGCGCTGAACCTCCCTCCCTGGCGCGAGGAGCGCACCAAGGGCGGCACCGGAGGCGCCACCATGGGGGGCCTGGCACAGATCCAAGACAGCCGCGCGGACCTCCGAGACATCATGCTCATGCAGTTTTGTGCTCTTCGGGTCTCGTCGTTGTTGCTGTCGAGCGTCGTCCCTGCCAGCTCCAGCAGGCCGCCCACGGACGTCCTGTCGTGGCCGCCAGCGCCTCGGCCCGCCGCCCAGTCGCCGGGCGCCGTCTCCCGGCACATCGGCGGGAAGGTCGGCGGTGGACAAACCTCCCTTTAGCAAACCTCCCTTTCGTGAAAACGGCCTGGGACCGAAACCGACGGACCTGGGCCCGCAAAAATGGCGGCCGCGACGCGTCAGGGCAGGAGGCCTGTCCACCCCCGGGAAGGGCTGCCCCTCCTCGGGGCACCTGGGGACGCCGATCTCCTTGGCGTCGGCCAGGACGCCTTCGCCGAACACCTCCGAGTGAAAGGCGTGCCCGAGCGTCAGCTGGAACTTCTCCACGTTCCCGATGAAGCTCGGGGGTTCGTAGGGGTGCCCCTGGCCCAAGGTGCCCCCAGCTTGTCGCCCAATTTTGGAGCCCCTCGGGTCCCTTGGGCCTCGTGAGCGGTGCCCTGGAGGCCGCTGGGGCCCCTTTGGAACTCAGGGGGGCACCTCGGGCCAGGGGCACTTCTAGCAGCACCCGAGAAGTACTCGTCCACCTGGACCATTGACTCCGGTCCGGTGCTGTAGCCGAGCCTGCACCCTGCAGTGTCGTTAGGGCTCCCGCTCGCGCACGAAGACCTCTGGTGGTTGACCACAACGTGCGTCGGGATGAACACCTCCGCCTCGCCCATGGACAGCACATCGATCTCGTTTACGAAGTCGCAGCGCACCTGCGAGGCCTGGCAGTATGGCAGCTGCGCGAAGATGTCCGCGCCCGCCATCTTCTCCCCAGGCCACACCTGCACGTCCACGCTGCCGATCAGGCGCTCAACCTGCAGGTGCGTCTGCTTGTACAAGGCCGCGTATCCGAACACGTACAGCAGCGCCAGGCCCTGCAGCCCGCGCCGGAGAAGGCGCGTACGCCTCTCCGACAGCCCATCGCCGCGAGCAGCGCCCTCCTCGCAGCCACGGCCGTCCATGCCACGGCGCCGCCTCGGCTTCTGGAGCCAAAGTGGCTGGCCGCCTCGATCGCCTGTCGAGGGAGGGCGGAGAGACCAAGGAGGCCTCCTTCTCCTCCTCCTCCTCCTCCTCCTCCTCCTCCTCCTCCTCTCTCCTCTCTCCTCTCTCCTCTTCCCTCCCTCTCCTGGCGAGGCGAGGGGTAGGCCGCTGAGGTCCGTGGCCCGCCAGGTCGATGGCCTCGCTGTACAGCCTGATCGCCTCAGGGTAGTCCTTGGCCTGGAACGCGGCGTTGCCGAGCGCCTTCTTCTCTTCCGCCTGGCCAGCTTTTTTTCTTTCTGGCTTGTTTTTGTTTAGCTTGCCTTCGCCAGCCGTTGACTAGCTCCGGGCCGTTGTGTCGCGCGTCTCCCCCCGCTTCTCCTGGAGGAGGAGGAGGAGGAGGAAGAGGAGGAACATCGATAATCGAAATTTGCGCATGTTCTTTGCCGTGTTCCGGCCTTCAGAAGTCTCCATCGGCTTCTGGGGTCCTCTAGACACTACCGCAGACCTCTCAGAAATGCTTTGACCTGCTTTGGAAGACGGAGACTCCTACTTGGGGTCGCGCCGGATTCATTTTCATTGCGCGGGTCCCAGAGCTCTCGACTTCTTTCCTGGGGCCAGCTTTTCGCGGCTCCCCATAGATAGGATGTTTGATTCCAGGTCCTCATACTTTTGATTCGAGGCCCTCAGATACCTCCACCTACTTTTCCCTCCTCCCCCTCCTCCCCCCTCTCCACCCTCCCGCTCCTTCACAGTCCTCTCGGTTCCTACATCCTCCTTTTCCTCCTTTTCCTCCTCCTCCTCCTCCTCCTCCCCCTCCTCCCCCTCCTCCCCCTCCTCCCCTTCCTTCTCCTCCTTCTCCTCCTCCTCCTTATTCTCTGTCTTACCTTGCAGGACTTATGCTACTCAGTTCTGAACTTGTGCGAAGGTGTCCGAGGGGGTGTCAGCGAACGGTGTTCTAGATGCCCGATGTGTTTCGACGAAGTGTCAGCATCCCAAAGTAGACACTCGAACAATCAGTGCCGTCTCGGCGGATTGAGGCCCCCCAGAGCAGACGCTTGAAAACATCTGCGAAGCGTCAGCACCCCAGAGCCGACGCCTGACACAATTCGGCGAGGGGTTAGCGACTTAGGCCCCCCAGAGCAGACGCTTGAAACAAACCCGTGAAGCGTCAACATCCCAGAGGCGATACCCAGAAACAATCCGCGAGGCGTCGGCAGATTTCGGCTTCTCCTGGCAGATGCCTGAACATATCTTGTGAGGTGTCAGCCTCTCAAAGCGGACACCTGAACAGATAACAAAGCACGGTCGGGCGCTATTGCTTGTTGAGGATCGCCTTTGAAACCCATGCTTGGAACTCCCGTGTGCAATTTTGCAAATGCAGTCGAAACAACGTCGAAATTTCCTGCAAAGCCGCAATTGCTGCGTCGTCCGCGTTCGATTCACGGACGCTCTTGAAATTGCGTTTTTTCTAGGGCGCAGTCGGAACCGGCGACAAGGACTGGCAAATGTCGTAAGGTATCATTGCGGCCTTCCATTCCAGGCATCATGGACATGCTTTCTGCATCCCCAGTCCAAGGGTAGTGCCCTTGCGGACGCATGCGCCTGAACTTTGGTGCTGCAGCCCGCATCACGGCAACGTCGCACTGGTGGGGGGATAGTAAGGCCTCCTTGGACATCAATCCGCAATCCTTTCCCGTCTCTCTTTGGGTGGGCGCGTCCTCGCGCCTTTTTTGTCAGAGAGGGTGTTTCGCAAGGTCCCTTGGGCATCCTTGTCGACGTTGTGGTCGTAGCCCTCTGACTTAGCGATTCTCCTCCCTCTCCTGCTCTACCACCTCCCCCTCATTCCTTTCCCTCATGAACAACTCCTCCCTGTCGCACCCCGAGGCCGGTCGAAAGGGTGGGCTGGGCGCTTCGCCAAAGACTTTCTCACCATTTGTGTTCCTGAAGCTTGACATTTGCAAGAGCTGCACGGATGGAGGGCGGTCCGCTTTCAAAATGCGGCTTTCGCCTTAGCGCCGCGCGCACTCGTTTTAAAAATTCGCAAGAGCTTCACCGATGGAGGGCGGTCCGCTTTCGCAATGTGGTTCTCGCCTTAGCGCCGCGCGCAGTCCTTGTACAAGTTTGCAAGAAATGCACGGATGGAGGGCGGTCCGTTTTCAAAATGTGGCTGTCGCTTTAGCGCCACGAACACTCGTCGCAAGAATCCGCGAGAGTTCGAAACATTCTCATGTTTAACGTCCCAAGAACTGTGTGTTGGCACGATTTTGGAATGTCAAGGCGCAACCATTATCTTGATTCGTGGTGTGAAGTCCCATGAACCGTGTTCTGTCTCGATTCAGGGTCGTCAAGACGCAGCGGTAACGGTGATTCGCGGCGTTGAGGTTCCAAGAATGGTGTTCTGGCTCAGTTCTGGGTTTTCAAGACGGTTGTCGTCCAACGGGGCATGTTCCTCAGTGGAAATAAATCCGTGTAGGAGCCTATGAAAGGGGCACTTGGAAAGATGGTGTATTGCAATACCGTTGATGGGTCTTGGGTTTACACTGGTCCTCCTCCTCCTCCTCCTCCTCCTTCTCCTCCTCCTCCTCTTCCTCCCCCTCTCTCCTCCTCTTCCGCCTCCTCCTCCTCCTCCTCCTCCTCCTCCTCCTCCTCCTCCTCCTCCTCCTCCTCTGTTTCCACCCTCCCCTGCCGTCCTCCTCCGCCTCCTCGCTTCCTTCTCCCTCCGAGCCAATCCTCTTCCACGGCCTCCTCCTCCTCTTCCTCCTCCTCCTCCTCCTGTTCACTGTTCTTGTCCTTCTTTTCTGGCCCCAAGACGGGCCAAGCGGGCCCAACAAGGTCCCCAAGACGGTCCAAGAGGGCCCCGAGACGCCCAAAGATCGGCCCGAGACGCCCAGGTGTCATCAAGATTGACCAAGAGGCCTTCAAGACGCCCCAAGAGGCTTCCAAGAGGCCTCCCCCCACGAGGGCCTCAAGATGCAACAATCACTTATTTTCCTTAGGTTTTTTTGACAGGTTTTGGTGATTTCGGCTTTTCGGCTTTCCGACGTTCCAAGACGACCGAAGAGGCCCCAATTCATGCCAAAACGGTCCACGAGGCCTCCAAGAGGGCCCGAAGACGGCCTAAGCGCGCCCCTAAACGGCCCAAGAGGCGCCCAAAACGGCCCAAGAGGGCCTCAAGGCGGCCCCCAAAGGGGCCCAAAAGAGGGAACACTAACCACAAAATCCTATCCTTCCGCCCCAAGAGGCCCCCAGCAGGCCCCAAGAGGCGCCCAGGAGGCCCCAGGATGCCCCCAAGAGGCCCCCAAGAGGCCCCAAGAGGCCCCAGACCCAAAAGAGGCCCCAAGAGGCGCCCAAACGGCCCCCAAGAGGCTTCCAACCTGCCTCCAAGAGGCCCCCGAGATGCCACCCACGAAATCCCAACGAATATCCAATATGCTTCATACCCATAACCCAAGCACGGCGGCGGGATGGGCCGAAGGCAATTCGATCCGCCGCCCCCGTTTGATTTATCAAAGGGGTGCCTGGCCTGGCGTGCCAGACGATATGGCTGTTGGTTTTGATTCTTTTTCCAAAAGAACTCACCCTGGGGCTTCGGCCCGTCCCGCTGGTTACCCGGAAGACTCGGTTGCCAACGGTATCCTGCCCCAGACGGCCCCAAGATGGCTTCCAAGACGGCTAAGATGGCCCTAATATGCCTCCAAGACGGCCCAAGATGCACCCAAGACAGCCTAAGATAGCCTGAAGATGGCCCAAGACGGCCCAAGAGGCCCCCAAGAGGCCTCCAAGAGGGCCCAAGAGGCCTCCAAGAGGTCCTCCAGGAAGGCCCGAAGATGCCAAAATCATTGATTTTCCTTAGATGTTTGAAGGATTTTGGCATTCGCTTCTTCTCGGCATTCCGACGGCTCAGACGGCCCAAGAGGCTCCCAAGATCGCCCAAGAAGCCTCCAAGAGGGCCCCATGACGGCCCAGGTGGCCTCCAAGACGGCCCAAAGACGGCCCAAGAGGCCTCCAAGACGCCCAAGATGGCCTCCACGACGCCCAAGATGGCCTCCAAGACGGCCCCGAAGCGCCCCAAGAGGGCCCCAAGTCGGCCCAGAAAAGCCCCCAAGACGGCTCAGACGGCGTCAGACGTGCCAGGAACCCACCAAGATGGCCGAAGTTGGCTCGAAGCTGGCCCAAGACGGCCCGAGAGGCTCCCAAGAGGGCTTCCAGGAAGGCCTGAAGAGGCTAAAAACATGGATTTTCATAAGGTTTTTGACGGATTTTGACATTTGCTTCTTTTCCGCCTTCCGACGGCCCGAGACAGCCCAAGAGCCCCCAAAGATCGCCGAAACATCGCACAAGAGGCCTCCAAGATGGCCCCAGAACGGCCCAAGAGGGCCGCAAGACGGCCCCAAGAGGCTCCCACGACGGCACAGGA